GGAGGCATTGTTATAATTTTCGTGTAAGACCCTTTATATAGGGTATAAAAACTTCTATCATAGTTTTGCTTATCTATGCGAACTTGCCCTTATTTGCATTTTGGGGGTGTGCCAGTTTTTATTTCTAATTCTGAAATTAACGTATAAATATTTGCCAGACTGCGCCATAATTCACTTTTGGCAACTTTGTGTGATTTGTCCAGTTGAGAGTCTTGACACATGACTTTAATGCCTTAAAGGACTATTATCTGTGATATAATGATATGATACGACGATGTAGCATCATGATTCCGGCCAGGCCAAATAATTAAATGCTCAACTTGGCTGTGCGTGTGCTCATTTAACGCTGCCAGGGCAAATGATGAATGGCCGAGTGCTTCCTATTTCTGGGTTTATCCGTTTTCCACCCTGCAATTAATATGCTCTTAATCAAGAATGGGGCGAGCTGCCGACTGCCTGGCTGGACTGATGTCTTCCATCATCTTTCAGAGCTAACTTGCGTGTTTTGCGCACCTCAATACGTACGGTCCACCCCCCCCGCACGAGTTCCTAATGCGTCATTTTCTTTATCTGTATCAATATCCTGGCGTATGCGGTCACGCATCGTATTGCTCTAGTCATAATTTCCAGGGGGTACTCGTCTATTTGTTGTTATTCCTGTTAAATATTCATGCGAATCTGCGCGTTGTCAGCTTCGTTTTATTTTAATGACATTTCAATAATTAATGTATCTTTCTTTTTTCCCATTTTTTCCATTTCCGTTTTCCTGCCCGATTTCGGTTGCCATTGTCGCCGAAGTGTGCGTGTCCTTTATGTATATATATATTTTTTTTCGACCAGACTTCTTGACTAGCCTGTCGCTCTGGGCCAGATCATCAATCAAAAGGGCATTTTTAAATGTTTCGTTAGGAACTGCTTGTCGCGGCTTATAAATGATGCTGTTATATGGTTTTTTCAGTGGGTTTTTTCTTGCCTTTGATTACTTTTGGGCGTTTTCTGAGCTGATTTTTTAAATGGCAAATGTTCATCAATTTTAATAAGTCAAAATAAGTCAAGAATGCTAATGTTCTAATTGCGTGAAAGTGAGCCCAAATAGAATATGTCAAGTGGTACAGTGCCTGTATATATAAATATACACAAATTTCTCCATGGCTAGTCATCGGAAAAATAATAAGAAAAAGTATATATGTAATTGATCAGTATCAATATCCCCATGTCTGTCTGTTTGTGTCAACGCAAAAGGGTATTTTTATAAAGAGAATTGTGGATGCTAATTTACATATTTGTCCATTTCGCTTACGCGATTGGTCATAATGCCATTGATCCCGTTACTTGTCTGTGTTGCTCAAGCTATTACAAAAGAGGCGAGTTGGTGCGGATGGTGTGAGCGCAAAAGTTCTAATTCTAAGTTGTTATTGTATTAGTGCGAATGCCGACTTAAGAGATTAGGTAGATAATTTATTCTGTGCGCGTCATCTCCTTTGATCGGTCGTTTGCTGTGCGGATTTTCGTGTAGAATCAATTGCGATTAAACCAAGAGAATTACATTATTGTGGCGTGAAAAGCGTTAAGCTCGTGTCATCGTGTATATTAGTCATCAACCCGTTTACGCGCTTGTTACGGTAAAGTCACGGTAAAATATGGAATCGTGTAATATGTGCCGTAAAGCTTTTTATTTTTGGCAAGTGTTTATACTTATTTCGCAGCCAAAGAGAGCGAGAGAGAAAGAGAGACTGAAAGTGGGAGAGAACAAGTGAGTACTTTTAAGCTTTGCTCAAACAATTCGGTACTTATTATTTCCCATTTTATACTTTGTTATATATTATATTTATAATTTGTTATACATAGAGGCACCCGATAAAATACTTTTATTAAATATATATATTATTTATCAGTAAAATAGCTGAGTCGATCCGTAGATACATCCGTTTTGTATGGTTTAATGTAAACGTTGTCATGATATCTTGCGTAATTTAATTTCCTAAATATATGTATATGTGACTATTTTTATTGCATACAAGAAATTGAGATTCAACCACATAAAATATTCTTGACCCTCCATAGTTACTCTTTATCTTAAATAAAAACCAAATTCTAATCGCATTTGCTCTCCAATTATATAAGTTACTTTCCTTCTCTGCACAGCTGTCATAATACCCACAGCATGCAGAACGGGAAAGTGAACATTTTTTTCCAACTGACTAAATCAACACCCTGTTTTCATTGGGTGGCTTTTATTTTTCTGCGCTCAGGACTTAACTCATAATTCGTGTAAAAACATTTCCTCGCCGCTAAGCAGCTCAGCTAATGTCATTAAGCTGCTATTAGTTGTTGACTGATTTGATTTAACTTAATTTTTTGCACAATCCAGAATAAAAGGGACAAGACAAGTAGAAGATGGTAAAAAGAGACTTTTGAATAACCCATACATGAATTTAGAAGTGAAATTTCAAAGTAGATATTCACTGATGATAATGAATTATCGTTAATTTTGTATTTAATATCATTAATAATAAACCCAGAAAAAAAGTGAAGCAATCCCTTGCTTGCTTGCGACTGGCTTAACTGTAGAGCATTCAATAGTCGACTCTACTCGCATCGCTTTTGTCTTTTGCTGGCTGCTTCTGCTCTTTGGAGATTTCTCTTGTTGTTTTAGGGTCGTTTTGGGTCTAAACCAATTTTTTGCTTCATTTTGCAAAGAATGTCCATGGCCTGCGAGCTAATCGAATAATTCGTTTGGGACATACACAACGAAATTGGTCAAAATGTCAGGGAATTATGTGAGGAATCGTTGTAGATAGAAATCTGAAGGTTTTGGCGGCAGCTTTGGTGCACTTCGTGGAAATTTATATCAATAAACCGCGCGTAGGGTTTGTTTTGATGCGAGTTCAGTTAACTTGGCTGGCAGCCATATTAGAAACGCTTTGCCAACTAATTAGCCGCTCAGAAGTTTGGCAAGTTCTTTGGCTGGCAGTTTGTGTTAACTGTTTTTTTGTCTGTGATTTTTACAGCTTTACTTACAAATCGCTCGATGTTGCAAAAGTTTTTTATTGCGTGTGGCCCAACAAGTTGTCGACGGCGAAAACATAATCATAAACTTGTCTCAATTATTCTTAATATGCCACGCCTCTCGCCGGGTGCGCCCCCGCAAATCGCAGTGGAGCATTTAGACGAACTTTTATCTGTTGTACGTTAATTAGTTTTGTTCGGTTGAAGTGCAAAATTTTTGATTTTTTCCCAACGCTTGCAAACTTTTTATTAACTTTTGCGCCAAAAATGTTTGCCAATCAAAATGAATTGAACACACAGGACGCAGGATGCTGCTGCTGCTGCTGCTGCAAGCGCAGGATGCACTGCCTCTGATTGCAGCTGCATAAGTGCAAAAGTTTAATTAAACGGCGGCGGCTGCGCGGTCGGGGGAATCGAGGAAGGCTCCGACTTCAAATGGCGCTTATGATGAGCCCCCTTGGAATTGCCAGCGCTGATTTTCCATAAGTTTTTCCAGCTGCTTTGCACAAAAAAGAAACTACAAAAAAAATAGAAGAAAAATTAACTTAAAAATGCAAATTGTTTTGTTAGCACCTAATTTTTTGACATTATCAAACGGGGGCCAACAGCATCCAAGTTTGCAGCTGAAAATGTTTCTATATTTTTGCATAATTGAATTTGCTTGTATTTTGGCGCTGTGGGACGAGTTTGGTTAACTTGGCAACTCTGCCGCGGGTGTTTGTGCTGCTAGCCAGAAAAGTGGAAAACTTTTATGCTAAAAGTGTATGGGAATTCACAACTACAATGTGATATGAAAAATATGTATGTTGTACATTTGTATACGTTAATTAAATCCAAAAGAAGGGTCTATGTAAAGTCTTGGCTTAATTTTGCACAAAAAGTAAGATAAAGAAATATATATATTTTTCTACCCTGAATCCATTGAAAATGTGTAAAAGGGTATAATTGTTTTGTACAAATATATGTAACAGGGCATCTCCGACCCCATAAATTATATATGTTCTTGATCAGCATCAATAGACGCTAATCAAGCCATGTCAGTCTGACTCTCCGTCCGTCTGACTTTCCCTCCGTCTGATTGCCCGTATGTATTATCGATTTTTGAACCTATAAGACCTGAAGACTTGGAATGTAGGCCCTCCTAGTGCCCGCGCAGATTGTTTTAGATAATCGATAACTCGTCGCGTTTCCAAGAAAACGACAAAATGTTGAGCAAATCGCTAAGTTTTTGTACATGTAGCTTCTTGAATATTATATTCAGATCAAGAATCTGTAATTTTATAGCGACCTCCATCCCTCCCCTCCCCTTTCGGGTAATCCCGACCGGATTATAAAATATAATGCTCGATAAAGTTGTAGTTCCAAATAAACAAAAGCAAAATACTTTTGTGTACAAAAAAATTAGATTAGATCTGATGTTTAAAAATCCTCGAGAATTTTGCGATTTTGCCTAGAGTTGGATTATATCTAATGCTTAAAAATTCTCAATAGTTCTGCGATCTTGTCTAGAGCTCCTCTGCTTGTCAGAACAATTTCAAAACTAATATAAATTTTTATTTGTTCAGCAACATATTGAAAACATATGCAGCTGTATGCAGCCAACTTAAAAGCCGTCGGTACATATAAATTTAATGTGATCGAAAGCCGTCGGCACTTGACGATTCCGCGGATTTCGAGAAATTTCCTTTGTTCCAGGAGATTAAAATTAATTTTACAAGTTGGCATGCCTTCCGTAATACAATAAACGTATGTATGTATATATATACATATATAGAGTATATAGACATCGCTTCATATATGTGGTCCTATTTGATTCTTTGATTTATTTATCTTCCGGTTTGTTCTGATTAATTTATTTCCGATATTGATATATTAATTTTTATGTGGTTTACGTGGGCCGGCGTGCTTTGTGCAAATGCTGAAAATTTTAAGACAGAAAATAAATAATGTTTTTTAAGTATTTGTTTTTTATTTATATTTTTTTTGTTTTTTGTTTTGTGGCATGCCAAAAAATTGATACAACTTTTGGCAAACCTTATAAATATTCTACTGAATTCTGTAGCTTTTACAATATGTTTATCGCTTAAGATCTAAGCAGGACGATTACAAAAGCTTACAAACTAAATACATTTTTCGTTAATTAGATTTAATTATAATATAAATCAAGTATTTCTAAATCGAAAACTCGTTGTTGTTGTCGCTATATCGAAAGAAACAAAACCATTATCACAATCGCTTTGATGAGTAAACTTAGGGGGGCTGCAGAAATTTTGAGTCGATGAAATCGGGGAAAGTTGTTAGCTATATGCCGTCGGCCTGAAGTCCATGGATGAGGCCGATCGCTGGATGTTTCCTTTGTACTATTTGCCTGACTGTGGACTGTTGTTGTAGTTGCAGTTGTAGTTGTAGTTGCAGCTGCAGTTGCAGTTGCAGTTGTAGGTCTATAGTTGTTGTGGTTTACTCAAGATGCGTTTTTCACTGCGATGGTTTGCGCCACTTGCCGCACTTGCGACCCGCACGCTGCAGACACTGGCCGGCCGTGGAGTCCATTAGCTGGCGTATGGTGTTTAGCATTACGGTGGCCATCTGCCATTGGCGTAGGCGCAACAGTTGCTTCTCCTGTTCGCGAGCCTTGCGCAGCATTGCCGCCTGATCTGGTATATAGAAGGCCACAGCCATTGTATTTTTTGTTCTTGTTGTTGTTGTTGCTGTGTTTTTTGCTGCTGCTATCAAGGAAAACTTGTTCTTTGTTTCCAATTGCACAATTGTTTGTAATTAATAATGTCTTTCTTCGCAGATGACTCAAGACTTTCTCTTTGCAGATTCGCGCGAGGCACACAATGAATAAATTAACTACACAAATGCTTTGTTGCTGTTGTTGTTGTTCTTCTTCTTGTTGGCGTTTACGCACACGTCAAAATTGTGTCTGGTTCATTCACTTTGTATTGCTTCGCTGTTGCTGCTGTTATTGCTGCTGCGTCCGCACGCTTCGTTAGCTGACTTCAAACTGGCTGGCGTGAGCGCCATGTGCGCTCTTTTATACGCCGCACGCTCTCGCAGTCGGCGTTCGTTGCCGCTGTCGCCGCCGCTGCTGCTGCTGCTGCTGCGGCTGCGGCTGTTCTTGCTTCTCTTGCTTTGATATTCGGCGCGCTGGAGAGTTGAGTCTGTCCTGCTCTCTGAGCGCTCACTTGACGTTTTGTACGTAGGCCTCAGTTGCTCTCGCTGCTTAAATTTTTTGTTTTGGTATTTTTGTTGACATCGCTTCATTCGTATTTTTTGTGCGCAGCCACCAAAAAAAAAAAAAAATGTTGTTGCCAGGCCGCGTTCCCTCTCTGCGGAGTGGGCATGGGCGTGGGCGGAGCGGCCACCTTGCGCCTGTTGCCAAGTGGGTGTCTCAGTATGTGTGTGTGTGTGTGTGTTGTCAGGTTATGTTCTCGTCACAGGCGTCGCTGTCGCGCCTTTGTTGTAACTGTATGCGGCGAGAAGTACAGTTAGCATATTAATTGTATTAAATCGTCGTCGCATGACAAACATTTTCAGCGCAACGTCTGGAAGGCAAAAAGAGAGCTTGGAGAGAGCCTGTGACACTTGGAGATATGGGCAAGTAGGCAAAGTTGAGGGCCTGAAAAAAAAACCCAGATACATCTGCATTTATGTACATATATATGATTTTCATACTTTCCTTTATATTTTATCAAGTTCACATTTATAACGAGCTGTCAACGAATATGACGAGCCTTTTAGCCATGTCTTTATCAGAACACTCTATAAATGTTTTACAAATGTTTTTCCAGCGCTTCCTACATGCTAGCCGTAGCTATCTATAAGATGCCAGCTAAGTAGTATAAGTAATGAACGCCTGTCATAAATTTTTTGCATACATTTCATTCATTTTAATAATTTTTTTTTGTCAACAATGGGCCCGTCATGTCGCCGCCGCTATAGCTCATCTTTTTGTTCGTAATTCGCATGAATTTTCGTATTCCTTAGAGCGAAACGATCCGAAAATTATAGCATTGCTATATCATTTATTTTGGGATAATCTGCCACAGCCAAACGAACATGATATATAATTGTATGCAATAACATTTCCGAAATTTTTATTAAATATTTGCCCACATTTACACAGAGCTGTTTAATGTATGTATTTTATTCAATACTTTCTTTTATTGCATCTGATATTAAACCAATATTAAACCCCTGCATAAGTATGCGATCGCACCCATTCATTGTATTCATTAAATAAATGCATAGTCGGTATATTCAAAAATAAGTTTAATTATGTTATTAATAAACTTATTCTTGATTTGTTAATAGTTGTATCCATTATCCTTCAAACCACAAACATTTTAGAACAGGGTATATATAATAATTAGTCAACATTTTATATGTGCATCATATTATTCATTCCATTTCCTGCATTAAGCAAGATTTATTTTAATCATTGTATATATTATACAAGTGATTAATCCGAAAATGTTGATAAAAAAATGCCGCAAGAAACTTTCCTTCTGATGAAATTCAGAATTTCCAAATGGTAGCAGTTAGATTGTTCTTAGCTAACCTATCCGCCGAGAACTGGCCAACTTGAGGGCTCTTAACTCCACCCACAATGTTGTCAGTTGGCTCTGACCCACGCACACTAACGCAATCGAACAGAGAATTGTCTACTTGGTAAACTCAGAGCGTTCGTCTCAAGTATCTTTAGAGTCGTTCCACTGTTACACAACTTCCACACTTAGGGGTTGCTCTAGGTCTATTGTTACAAGAACTACTCGCTGAATGTTTAGCTCTGCTCTGGCATTTGCCTTCTCGTTCGCACAAGCGACAAAGTCGCTGCATAGTTTTTTCTTTCCTTCTTGGTTTTCCGGGTTCGCGCCGGCAGCATAAATCTAAAAGGCGTGGCTTATTTCCCTAACGCCGGCAACATTGTCAGCCAGAAAGAAGCCGCAACAACATTTTCTCTTTCGCTTTGGCCCAATGAGCCAACGACTGAAGTTGGGTTCTTGGGTATGCTTCTGTTTCGATGTTTTTTTTCTTGTTTTTTTTTTTTTTTGGCTACTTTACTTTTTGTATTTGCGGGGCGGAGCTTTGTCCGAGACCTTATTTAATGGGCTACCTTTCCGTGGCTGTTATTTTATGAATCATCATTTCTGGGTGGAGTCTATAGATTTTAACCAAATCTATGCTTGATTTTCATAAAATAAAAACACTTCAAACTCCTCGAGCGCGATTATGCCGTCGGTAATTTACGCATTAATTGAACCAATTAGTGAATTGCCTTTTTCAAGATTCTAGATTATATTTAGTGAGATAAGAGTTTCAATTTTTGTATTGCTCAATGAGGCATAAGAAAGGTTATCAAATAAATCCCTTGTTTTCTTAAAGGATTACATGATATTTCTTTTTTGAAATCTTTTCGATCAACTTTCTTTCTGGTCATGCGGGTAATTATTGCAATTTTTATTGAAATTTTACAGCTAATGTTAAGCGACGTGTGTCAACACATTGATTGACAAAAAGAAATCTGGATTTGGGGTTGTTCAGAAAACCCATATACCATTGTTGTCGCTATCAATTTGCATATCTAATTGCATGGAAATATGATTTGCTTACTGTTTCCGAAATCATGAAACTTTTGGTTTTTAGGCGTTGGGTCATGGAAAGTGAATATGTCAAATTAGCTTTTAATTGAGTTTTCAATCTGCATGTCAAATGACCCACATGATCAAAAGTTTGACGCGTGTTGTTCCCCTTTAAAATGGTGTCAATCGAGCAGATTCCCGAAGTTTTCTGCTCACTCATGCACAAAAGTTGCCAGCATTTAATGAAGGCAAGCTGCAGATCAAGCTTTTATATTTCACCAGCTTCTCTGACGTGTCTTTGTCTTTGTTATTAAGCTCTTGACGTAGTCGTTTGGGCCTGCCTCAAAACCTGGGCTTGAAATTACCTGCCAAGCTTCAGATACTCCCCGTCATATGCTAATGAGTAATGCCCACAACTCGACAACTTGCCCGATGTTCCCTCTCATCCATCTCATTTTCTAACTAACTTTCTTGCTCTCAATTTGCATGAGCTAAAACGCGTTCGCTTTGTCACCTCCTGCCCAAAAAATGTAAAAAGTCTCTCAGTTACGCTCTGCTTATCTCTCTGCTTATCTCTCGGCTTGTCTGCCGATCTCTTGGCTTCTCTCTGTTCCACTTCGTGTAATTTGTATTAATTTTTTATGATCTCTACTGGTGGCCCTGGCATATCTCTCCCCCTACCGACCGTCGTCCGTCGACAGATATTTTTATTTGTTTTCCATTTAGAAAGCACCGAAACAAAGACAATTGCTGGGTGATCCGTTGCACATGGGTCATTAACTCGCCGCCGTTTGTAACGCCTGTCATTGAGCGCTGCTTAGGCAGACGATCGTCTACGCGGCGATCGCGGAAGCTTTGCCGTTTCCCAGGCAAACGCAGAGACCAACCAAGCAACCAACCAGACAACCGACCGATGGATGAGTCATCCGCGCAATGCACTTGGCAGTGGATGTGGCTTGGGTAACCTGGTGAAGAGCGGAGGGGTTTGGGGGACCACAACCAAAACGAGACCCATTTAATGTTGTTTAACGACTGTTTGCTGTCTGTGGGGTTTCGTCTCGTCTCGGCTCGTCTCGTCTGGGGTACAACATGTGCATAACTGTGTTCGGATTCGGATTGGACTTGGAATTCGGACGCGGTCCTCAACACATGCACACACTCAACGCAAAAAAACGATACAAGACGGCACGAAAAATGATATGCCGATAAGATTGTTATACAAGCGGTATCCCAAACACAGATGTGAACCTACGTCGAACTCTTGGCCTTTGTTTAATTTATTTGATTGTTCTTTTTGTTTGTCCATCGATGATTTCTGTGTGTGCCTGTGTGCGTGTGTGTGTGTGTGTGTGTGTGTGTGTGTATCTTGTACAAACATGTCAGTGCTATATGCCCGGTTTTTATTTAAGTAATTTTCGCCCCTTTTTCATAGATTTTATGAATAGATAACGCATCTTTCATCTCTTACTATCTGTTGCAGTTGCAGCAGGTCTTCAAGTTCTCTGATTTTTAGGTAGGTGCGTGGTAGGCAACATGCAACGACATGTCCAACTGTCTCTGGAATTGTTCTTGTTGTTTGTGTTTGCTTATGTGATTATTTGTCTATGGTCTTAGTTGCACTAATATTTTCCTCATGGGCAGTAGTCGAATGGCATGAGGTGCGAGTTTCGAAACGAGTGGATTGGCCTGAAGTTAAGTGGAGTGAGAACTGTGCCTGAGCTGGCCTAGGGAATGAGTCATGCTGTTGCGGTTGCAAACGTTGGGAATGCGTGTGGAAATAGGCGGCAATTAGAGTTGATTATGAGTAGGTGCAAGTGCATGGTTAATTTATGGGGCGGATCGTAAACATGTGTCTTGAACATGCGCAAATTCTTAAATTTTAATGGTAGACAATGGTATAATATATAATTAGCTTAAACTGCATTAGTAATCTTGTCATAATAAATATAAATTAAAAAATAATAAAACGTTATGTATTTATAATACAGTACAAACTCTTCTCACTGACACTTCTGTTAGTCGGAAAATTAAAAAATTATTAATCAGGCCAATCCTTTCTGTACGGACAAAAACTACCCGATAGTCCCTATCCGTTTAAGAGAGTTTCCCCTGTA